TGTTTAATTCACTAAGTCATTATTAGACATGCCCGGGGATGAGCAGGCATGTAATTCAATAAGTCAATTATTAGACCCTGGTGGGTGGACGCCATGAGAGAATGAGGCCTGTAATTCACTAAGTCATTATTAGGACCATGGGTTTGGATGAGGCCTGTAATGCACTAAAGTCATTATTAGACCAGGTGGATGAGGCCTCTGTAATTAACTAAGTATTATTTATAAACCCCGGGGAGATGAGGCCGTTTCTGTTGAATTCCACTGAGTCCATTATTAGACCTGGTGGATGAGGCCGTAGTTCACATAAGTAGTATTAGACCCGGTGGATGAGGCCTGTAATTCACTAAGTCATTCTTAGATGGCCCTGGTGCTGCTGAGGCCTGTAATCACTAAGTTCATTATTAGACCCGGGTGGATGAGGCCTGTAATCAAAACCCCTTTTTTAAAAAAAAGTAATATTATTAGACCCGGTGGGTGGGATGAGGCCTGTAATTCACCTAAGTCATTATTAGAACCCGATGGAGTTTGGGGAGGCCCCTGTATTTCACAAAGTCATTCTTAGACCCGGCGGGATGGATGGTAAAGGGACAGGAAAGAAACGTCAGTTAGTAGAAAAGGGGGGATGTGGATTCGGATGTGGATGAGTGGATGGGGGTGGGATGAGGGCCGGTATTTCACAAAGTCAGTATTAGGAACCGGTGGATGAGGCCTGTAATTCACTAAGTCATTATTAGACCTGGTGGATGAGGCCTGTAATTCACTAAGTCATTATTAGACATGGTTGGATGAGGTGAGGCCTGGTATCTGTTGTGTTGTAATTCACTAAGTAATATTAGACCTGGTGGTGGCTGGTGGATGGATGAGGCCTGTAAGTCACTAAGTAATTATTTAGACACCGGTGGAATGAGGCCTGTATTCCCTAACTCATTATTGAGACCCGGGGGGTCGGGTTTGGGGATGAGGCCTGTAATTCACTAAGTCATTATTAGACCTGGTGGATGAGGCCTGTAATTCACTAAGTCATTATTAGACCCGGTGGATGAGGCCTGTAATTCACTAAGTCATTATTAGACCTGGTGGATGAGGCCTGTAATTCACTAAGTCATTATTAGACCCCACGGTGGATGAGTGGGCCTTGTAATTCACTAAGTCATTATTAACCCGGCGTCCCCGGGGTGGATGAGGCCTGTAGTCACTAAGTCATTATAGACCTGGTGGATTATGAAATTGATGAGGCCGTAATGCACTGAGTCAATTATTAGACCTGAGTGGTGGAATGGAGTGATGGGCCTTGGCACTTTTGAAATTTCACAAAGCGTCATTATTAGACCCGGTGGATTATAGGCCTGTAATTCTGTCATTTATTAGACATGGTGGATGATGAGGCAATTTGATTGCTTGGGTTATTTGTATGTAATGGTGTGAGGCCGTAATTCAGCTAAGTCATTATTAGACCTGGGTTGGATGGATGAGGAATTGTTTTTTGTTATTTTGTGTTATGTTGTAATGTCATGTGGGTTGGTCGTTTGGTTGTGGTTAAGGTGGTTGGTGGGGTGGTGATTTTGGATGGTTTGTTCTGTATGTTTTTGTATTGGTGGATGTTGTATTGTTTGTGTGGGTGGCTAGGGGTGATGGTGCGAGGGGAATTGTAGGCGGTGTGTGGGTAATGAGGTGTGTGTAAGTGTGTGCTATCTGTTGTTGTCTGTGTTCTGGTATTTTGTTATGTTTTTGTTTGTCAGTTGTAATGTTTGTTTTGTGTTTGTGTAATGTAATTGTTGTATTGCTTGTTGTTGTTTGTTAATCCTGTGGAATGTTGTTTTTGTATGTTTTGTGTTTTGTTGTCTCCTGGTTGTTTTGGTATTGTAACTGTAATGTAATGTTTTGTTGTTTTATTTGATTGTATGTTTGTTTGTTGTTGTTGTTGTTGTGTGTTTGTTATGTGTATGTGTAATGTTTGGTTGTGTGTTTATGGGGTTATGTTTGGTGCTAATTGATGGTTGTTTGTATTGTAATGTCTGGGTGGCTAGAGGCCTTGCTAATGAGGGTGGGGGTGTCAGGGAGGGGGTGGATTTGTATCGGGGAGGGTTGGGGGCGCGGTGGTGGCGTATGTGGTTTGGTGGTGTGTGTGTTGTGTATAATGTGGGATTGGATGTTTTGTGTTGTTTTTTGAATTGTGTTGGTATATCTTTAGTCAATGTTATTTGTTGATTGTGATTGATTTTATGGATTCGGTTAATATGTATGTCTTGTAATGTTGCAGTGTTGTGTTTTTGATGGTGTTGTTGTTGTATGTTTTTGTTTAATGTATGTATTGTTTTGTTGTTGTGTTTTGGTCAGTGCTTTGTGTTGTTTGTAGGGGGTGGTAATTTGGGGTTGTGATCGTATATTTGTGGGGGGAGAGGTTGGGCTTGTGTGTGTTGTTGTATGGGTGTATGTTTGTATCGGTTGTTTGTTTTGGTTGTTGGTAAGTGTTGTTGGGTTGTTTGATGTTTTCTGTTTGTTTTGTATTTGTCCTGTGTGTTGTAATGTGTTGTTGTCTTTGATTTTGTTTGTACTGTTGTTGTAGGAATTGGGGTTAATGTGTTTGTGTATGTGTATGTTTTTTGTATCTGTTCTGTTTGTTGTTGTATTGTAATTCACTAAGTCATTGATTAAGAACGGTGGATGATGGCCTGTAATTCACTAAGGTACATTATTAGACCCGGTTGGGGCGTGGATGAGGCCTGTAATTCATTAAGTCATTATTAGACCGGTGGATTTGATGGCCGCTGAATTTCACAAAGTCTTATTAGACCGTTGGATGAGCTGTATAATTCACTAAGTCTTTTATTAGACCCGGTGGTAGGTGAGGCCGTATGTAATTCAATTAAGTCATTATTAGGACCTGGTGGATTGGATGAGGCATGTAATTCACTAAGTCATTATTTAGACCCGGTGGATGAGCCTGTTAATTCACTAGTCATTATTAGGACCTGGTGGGATGAGGCCTGGCCTGTAATTCACTAAGTCATTTTAGACCTGGTGGGGGATGGATGACTGAGGCCGGAATTCACTAAGTCATATTAGACCCCGGTGGATGAGGCCGAATTCACTAAGTCATTATTAGACCCGGTTGGATGATGAGATATGATGAGGCCTTGTTGTTGTGTAATTCACTAAGTCATATTAGACCTGGTGGGATGAGGCCTGTAATACCTAAGTCATTATTAGACACCCGGTGGATGAAGGCCTGGAATTCACTAAGTCATTAGAGCCTGTGGATTGTGAGGACTGTAATCACTAATCAGTATTAGACCTGGTGGATGAGGCCTGTAATTCATAAAGTCATTAATTAGAACAGGTGGATGAGGCCTTTGTTTCGGTCGGTTACGGGTGGAATGTAAATAACTAGTCATTGGATTAGTACCGGCTGGTGGTATGAGGCTGCTTTGTAGTTTTGTAATTCACTAAGTCATTATTTAGCCGGTGGAATGAGGCCTGTAATTCACTAAGTCATTATGTAGACATGGTGGATGAGGCCTGTAATCCACTAAGTCATTATTAAGAACATGGTGGATGAGGCACTGTAATTCACTAAGTCATATTAGACCGGTGATGAGGCCTGTAATTCACTAAGTCATTATTAGACCCGGTGGATGAGGCCTGTAATTCACTAAGTCATTATTAGACCTGGTGGATGAGGCCTGTAATTCACTAAGTCATTATTAGACCCGGTGGATGAGGCCTGTAATTCACTAAGTCATTATTAGACTGGTGGATGAGGCCTGTAATTCACTAAGGTCATTATTAGACCTGGTGGAAGGCCTGCTAATTCACTAAGTCATTATAGACCAGGTGGATGAGGCCGTAATTCACATAAGTCATTATTAGACCTGGTGATGAGGCCTGTAATTCACTACGAAGTCTTATTAGACCCGGTGGATGAGGCCGAATTCCAATCTGTTGTCCCGTCTGTCTGCTCAGGGTTCCGGTTTGTTCAGTGCACGAACGTTATGACAGTGTAATAACCATGTTAGAACTCTCTCTCCAGATGCTGGTTATGTGTTAATAACACTCAACAAAATGTCAGAAAATAGAGTGTCAACATCACAGCAATTCTTCTTTGCATTGCCCACTTGTGAGGGTCCCAGTTCAATATAACACTGTGTGTGATAAGTATCTAATACTGTAATAAAAAGGGGAGCGGGGGAGGAGAGGGGGGGGGGAGGGGGGAGGGAAAAAGCGAAGAAGAAGAGAAGAGAAATAGAGAAGGAGCAAGAGAGAGAGCGAAGAGAGAGAGAAGGAGAGAGAAGTAGAGGATGAGTAAAGAGCGAGACGAGAGAGAGTACAGAGAGAGAGAGAGAGGAGGAACGAGAAGAGCATGAGTAAGAGAGCTGCGCGCTCGAGCGAGAGAGACGAGAGGAGAGCGCAGAGCGCGAGCCGCAGAACGCTACAGCGACACGCGCCCGAGGACACACCGCGAGAGCGCGCGAGCGAGAGAGCGCGCGCGCGAGCGCGGCGAGCAGCGGAGGCAGAGCGAGCGCGCGCGCGCGCGCGCGAGCTCGCGCGGGATGCGCAGGACGCCGCGCACGGACAGCCACGCCACGCCACGCACGCCACGGCCAAGAAAAGAAAGAAAAAGAAAAGAAGCGCCGAGAGAGAGAAGAGACGAGAAGAGCGAGAGCGACGGAGAGAGAAGCAGCGAGAGAGAGAGAGAGTAGAGGGAGCCGGAGCGAGAGCGAGAGAGAGAGACGAGGAGAAGAGAAGGAGAGAGAGAGAGAGCGAGAGAGAGAGAGAGGAAGAGAGCGAGAGCGCAGAGAAGAGCAGAGAGAGAGAGAGACGAGAGCGAGAGCAGAAAGTAGAAGAGAAGGAGTAAGAGAAGTAGAAGAGGAGCGAGCCTCTCTCTCTCCTTCTCCCCTCCCCTCCCCTCCCTCCCCTCCCTCTCTCTCCTCTCCTCTCCTCTCTCCAGCCCACTGAAGCTGCACGGTGAGGTCTGCTCTGTGGTGTCCAGTTACGGTCAGATGTTGGGTCAGGAGGCGGGGCCGGAGATCGACCGCTCCTCCTGTATCTGGCGTATGAACAACGCCCCGACGCGGGGGTTTGAACACGACGTGGGGCGCCGCACCACCCTCAGGGTCGTCTCTCACACCTCCGTCCCTCTACTGCTGCAGGTGGGGGCTGTTTCTCCTTTTTCTCTAATTAGTTATGTCCAACCCACATAAGACACTGTATTAATGAGAAGGGCTTACAGAGAGAGAAAAAAACATCCAAAAGGACTAATTCGAGGCAGAAAAAAAATGTAGGCAAAAAATATATTTATTTTAGCTCACTTTAATCCATTGTTCAGGATGAGTACAGGTGACTGACGTTTGGACATCAAGCTGACGTCTTCATCAGAGTGTTCATGATTCAGTGTGTGACTACTGTAAAGGGTATTTTTTTATCTTCCTGCCACTGATTCTGCAGATAACTTTGATATCTAACTGTAAGTCGCTCTGGATAAGAGTGTCTGCTAAATTACTCAAATGTAAATGTCTTTGGGTTCATGAAAACGCTAACCCATTTCTTCTTCTTCTTCTTCTCATCAGAGGCCTCAGTACTTCTTCGGCCAGGCCAACGACACGGTGTATGTGGTGTGGGGTCCTCTGAGGAACATGAGGAAGGATGGGAAGGGCATTGTGTACAACATGCTGAGACAGGCTATAGAGAACTACCCCCAGGCTAGGATCTACCTCACCACAGAGGAACGCATGAACTACTGTGACATGGTGTTCAAGAAGGAGACCGGGAAGGACAGGTGAGACCGGGAAGGACAGGTGTTGCTACCTCCCAAATGGCACCCTATTCCATATATGGTGCACTACTTTTGAACCGAGCCCCTGTGGGGTGTCATAAGGAATAGGGTGGAATTTGAGCCACAACCAGTCTTCTTTTATTCACAGATTGTAGGATTTTGGTAGTTTTTTGGGTTGGGAGTGTTAATCACATTGTTTTATGTCTTGTTGCAGAAAAAGAAATATATGCGAATAGCAGGTGTGTTTGAGTTTAGGAGCGGACTGGAACAAAAGCCTGCAAACCCAGGTGCTCTCCAGGAGGTTATGATTGGCCAGCCCAGGTGCTCTCCAGGAGGCTATGATTGGCCAGCCCAGGTGCTCTCCAGGAGGCTATGATTGGCAGCCCAGGTCTCTCAAGGAGGTTATGATTGGCCAGCCAAGGTTGCTCTCCAGGAGGTTAATGATTGGCCAGCCCCAGGTGCTTCCAGGAGGTTATGATGGCCAGCCATGTGCTTCCAGGAGGTTATGATTGGCCAGCCCGGTGCTCTCCAGGAGGTGATTGATTGGCCAGCCAAGGTGTCTCCAGGAGGAGGTTATGATTGGCCAAGCCCAGGTGATCTCCAGGAGGTTATGATTGGCCAGCCCAGGTGCTCTCCAGGAGGTTATGATTGGCCAGCCCAGGTGCTCTCAGGAGTTATGAGTGGCAAACAGGGTGCTCTCCCAGGAGGTTGGTTATGGATTGGCCAGGCCCAGGTTGCTCTCCAGGAGGGTATGATGGCCAGCCCAGGTGCTCTCCAGGAGGTTATGATTGGCCTGCCAAGGTGCTCTCCAGGAGGTATGATTGGCAAGCCCAGGTGCTTCTCCAGGAGGTATTGATTGGACAGCCAGGTGCTCTCAGGAGGTTTATGATTGGCCAGCCCAGGTGCTTCCAGGAGAGGTTATGATTGGCCAGGCCCAGGTGCTCTCCAGGAGGTTATGATGGCCAGCCCAGGTGCTCTCCAGGCAGGTGATGATTGGCAGCCCAGGTGCTCTCCAGGAGGTTATGATTGGACAGCCCCATGGGTCCCAGGAGGTTATGATTGGCCAGCCCAGGTGCTCTCCAGGAGGTTATGATTGGCCAGCCCAGGTGCTCTCCAGGAGGTTATGATTGGCCAGCCCAGGTGCTCTCCAGGAGGTTATGATTGGCCAGCCCAGGTGCTCTCCAGGAGGTTATGATTGGCCAGCCCAGGTGCTCTCCAGGAGGTTATGATTGGCCAGCCCAGGTGCTTCAGGAGGTTATGATTGGCCAGCCCAGGGCTCTCCAGGAGGATTATGATGGCCAGCCCAGGTGCTCTCAGGAGTTATGATTGGCCAGCCAGGTGCTCTCCAGGAGGGTATATTGGCCCTGCCCAGGTGCTCTCCAGTAGCGTAGATTGGCCAGCCCAGGTGCTTCCAGGAGGTTAGGGTCTATGATTGGCCTGCCCAGGTGCTCTCAGGAGGTTATGATTGGCAGCCCAGGTGCTCCCAGGAGGTTTGATTGGCCAGCACAGGTGCTCTCCAGGGAAGGTTATGATTGCGCCCTGCCTCAGTAAACTGTCCTGAATAACAGAGCAGACACTCACCATTCCATTGTGTTGAATTAACCAGTAGGTCTCTGTCCCAAATGGTACCCTATTCCCTATATAGTGCACTTCTTTGGACCAGACCCCTATGGGAGAGAGAGAGAGAGCATGTGTGTGCGTGTTCGTTTGTGGTGGGTCAACAGGCCTGCCGGGGTACTCAGTGACTGAGAGGGTCAGCCTGTACTCAGACAGCTCTGTGTGTTTAAGAGGGTCAGCCTGTACTCAGACAGCTCCTGTGTGTTTAAGAGGGTCAGCCTGTACTCAGACAGCTCTGTGTGTTTAAGAGGGTCAGCCTGTACTCAGACAGCTCTGTGTGTTTAAGAGGTAGCTGTACTCAGAAGTCTGTGTGTTGAAGAGGGCAGCCTGTACTCAGACAGCTCTGTGTGTTGAAGAGGGTCAGCCTGTACTAAGACGCTCTGGTGTTTTAAGAGGGTCAGCCTGTACTCAGACAGCTCTGTGTGTTTAAGAGGGTCAGCCTGTACTCAGACAGCTCTGTGTGTTTAAGAGGGTCGTAAGCCTGTACTCAGACAGCTCTGTGTGTTTAAGAGGGTCAGCCTGTACTCAGACAGCTCTGTGTGTTTAAGAGGGTCAGCCTGTACTCAGACAGCTCTGTGTGTTTAAGAGGGTCAGCCTGTACTCAGACAGCTCTGTGTGTTTAAGAGGGTCAGCCTGTACTCAGACAGCTCGTGTGTTGAAGAGGGTCGCCGTATCAGACAACACATTAACCGACATAACTACAAACACATTAACATGACATAACTACAACCACATTGACAACTACATTATAACTACTTATACAGTTGAAGTCAGAAGTTTACATTCACCTTAGCAAATACAATTAAACTCAGTTTTTCACATGGTAATGGCTGGAACGGAATCAGTGGAACTGTATCAAATATATCAGACGCATGGTTTCCATGGTTTCCATGGTTTCCATGGTTTCCATGTGTTTGATGCCATTCCATTCGCTCCTTTCCAGCCATTATTATGAGCCGTCCTCCCCTTAGCAGCCTCCACTGATATCTATCTATCTACAGTTGAAGTCGGAAGTTTACATACACCTTAGCCAAATACATTTAAACTCAGTTTTTCACAATTCCTGACATTTAATCCTAGTAATAATTCCCTGTCTTAGGTCAGTTAGGATCACCACTTTTATTTTAAGAATGTGAAATGTCAGAATAATAGTAGAGAGTGATTTATTTAGCTTTATTATTTCATCACATTCCCAGTGGGTCAGAAGTTTACATACAACTCAATTAGTATTTGGTAGCATTGCCTTTAAATTGTTTAACTTGGGGTCAAACGTTTCGGGTAGCCTTCCACAAGCTTCCCACAATAATTGGGTGAATTTTGGCCCATTCCTCCTGACAGAGCTGGTGTAACTGAGTCAGGTTTGTAGGCCTCCTTGCTCACACACGCCTTTTCAGTTCTGCCCACAAATGTTATATAGGATTGAGGTCAGGGCTTGTGATGGCCACTCCAATACCTTGACTTTGTTGTCCTTAAGTCATTTTGCCACAACTTTGGAAGTATGCTTGGGGGCATTGTTCATTTGGGAGACCCATTTGCGACCAAGCTTTAATTTCCTGACTGATGTCTTGAGATGTTGCTTCAATATATCCACATAATTTTCCTTCCTCATGATGCCATCTATTTTGTGAAGTGCACCAGTCCCTCCTGCAGCAAAGCACCTCCACAGCATTATGCTGCCACCCCCGTGCTTCATGGTTGGGATGGTGTTCTTCGGTTTGCAAGCACCCCCTTTTTCCTCCAAACATAACGATGGTCATTATGGCCAAACAGTTCTATTTTGTTTCATCAGACAGAGGACATTTCTCCAAAAAGTACGATCTTGTCCCCATGTGCAGTTGGCAAACCGTAGTCTGGCTTTTTTATGCGGTTTTGGAGCCGTGGCTTCTTCCTTGCTGAGCGGGCCTTTCAGGTTATGTCGGTATAGGACTCGTTTTACTGTGAAAATATATAATTTTGTACCTGTTTCTTCCAGCATCTTCACAAGGTCCTATGCTGTTGTTCTGGGATTGATTTGCACTTTTCGCACCAAAGTACGTCCATCTCTAGGAGACAGAACGCGTCTCCTTCCTGAGCGGTATGACTGCTGTGTGGTCCCATGGTGTTTATACTTGCGTACTATTGTTTGTACAGATGAACGTGGTACCTTCAGGCATTTGAAAATTGCTCCCAAGGATGAACCAGACTTGTGGAGGTCTACACATTTTTTTCTGAGGTCTTGGCTGATTTATTTTGATTTTCCCATGATGTCAAGCAAAGAGGCACTGAGTTTGAAGGTAGGTCTTGACAAACATCCACAGGTACACCTCCAATTGACTCAAATTATGTCAATTAGCCTATCAGAAGCTTCTAAAGCCATGACATCATTTTCTGGAATTTTCCAAGCTGTTTAAAGGCACAGTCAACTTAGTGTATGTAAACTTCTGACCCACTGGAATTGTGATACAGTGAATTTTAAGTGAAATAATCTGTCTGTAAACAATTGTTAGAAAAATGACTTGTGTCATGGACAAAGTAGATGTCCTAACCGACTTGCCATAACTATAGTTTATTAACAAGAAATTTGTGGAGTGGTTGAAAAACTAGTTTTAATGGCTCCAACCTAAGTTTAACTTCCGCCTTCAACTCTAACTACGTCTGATAACGCGTCTTATCACGATAACTATAACTACATTCTAACTACTTATAACTACGTCTGATAACTACATTGTTAATCCAAGATAAGAAATATCCCAGGATTCAATTAACTATTCTCAGATCTGAGTCAGAATGATAAACACAAACAAACCCAATCTCCTAAAATACACATTTCAACATTAATCCGTTAGAATAAATGACTACGGATGCATCCCAAATGGCGCCCTATTCCCTATACCGTGACGAGATCCCGAGGCCCATACTGAACAAAAATATAAACGCAACATGCAACAATTTCAACAATTTTAGGAAGTTACAGTTCATATAAGGAAATCAGTCAATTGAAATAAATTCATTAGGCCCAATCTATGGATTTCACATAAATGGGGCAGGGGCGCATCCATGGTGGCCGGGAGGGCATAGCCACCCACTGGGGAGCCGGGCCCGCTCGAAATGAGTTTTTCCCCACAAAAGGGGTTTATTAAAGACAGAAATACTCCCCGTTTCATCACTGTCCGGGTGGTGGTCTCGACTCACAGGTGAGAGCCAGATGTGAGTCCTGGGCTGGCGGGGTTTTACACGGCCCTGGGGTTTGAGCTGTTGACGTATGCCAATTCTCAAAAATGATGTTGG